AGAAAATTAATAAGAAACCAAATGAAGTTAGAAGAATAATAAAAGAATCTTATAGGGCGCCTGGGTGGCGCAGTCGGTTAAGCGTCCGACTTCAGCCAAGTCACGATCTCGCGGTCCGTGAGTTCGAGCCCCGCGTCAGGCTCTGGGCTGATGGCTCGGAGCCTGGAGCCTGTTTCCGATTCTGTGTCTCCCTCTCTCTCTGCCCCTCCCCCATTCATGCTCTGTCTCTCTCTGTCCCAAAAATAAATAAACGTTGAAAAAAAAAATTAAAAAAAAAAAGAATCTTATGAATGACTATTTACAAATTTTATACCTTAGACAAATGAATATATTTCTAAAAAAATACCAAAATTGGCATAAGAAACAGAAAATTTGAATAAACCTGATAAGTTGAAATGGTATACAAACAGTTCCTCAAAGGAAAACACCTTAAGCCCAGATAGATTTACAAGTAAATTTTAACCAAACTTTTATGAATGCAGTTGTTTACATATTTGATAGGAGACAAACAAGGTAAGAAACAACATTTGATAGAGTCCAAATGACTTAGAAGTATATGAAGATATGCTCCAACTCACCAGTAGTCAATAATAATGCAAACTAAACAAACAAACAAAAACAACCAAGGAAGATATTATCAAGTTTTACCAGGACATAGAAAAAGGTGTTGCTGGTGAGAATGTAAACAGATGCAGCCACTATAGAAAGTAAGCTGGTTGTACCTACAAAAATTGTGTTGAAAAAAAAAAAAAAACAAAAACAAAAAAACAAAAAAGCAGATGCAATACTCCTGGGTAAATATTCTAAACTAGTTCAGATCTGCAAGGGGATACACTCTGGAACGTTCTTTGTTGCAGCCAGGAGTTGTATCCTTCACTTCAGCCAGAAAAGAATAAATAAAACGTAATAGATATATACTATTAACTACTATGCAAGTGTTAGAAGTGATGAATGGCATTAGGTGACTGTCCATAGAGGAACATGATATATCTAAAAACAGTGCTGAGTAAATGGATGTCAAAAGAAAGCCAGGATAGCATTATTTATATTGGACAAAATAGAATTTAAAACAAAGACTATATGTAACAAGAGACAAAGAAGGACACTATATAATCATAAAGGGGACGATCCAATAAGAAGATACAAAAATTGTAAATAATTATGCACCCAATATGAGCGTACCCAAATACATAAGACAAATAATAACAAACATAAAGGAAATAATTGATAGTAATACAATAATGGTAGGGGACTTTGACATCCCACTTACATCAATGGACATATCATCTAAACAGAAAATCAAAAAGGAAACCATGGCTTTGAATGATACACTAGACCAGATGGATCTACATATATATTCAGAACATTCCATCCTAAAACAGCAGAATACACATTCTTGTCAAATGCACATGGAATATTCTCCAGAATATATCACATATTATGCACAAAACATTCTCAAAAAATTTAAAGCATTGAAGTCAAACCATGCATCTTTTCTAACCACAGCGCTATGAAACTAAAAATCAACTACGAGAAAAAATGTGGAAGGAGCACAGATACATGGAGGTTAAAAAAAAAAAAAGGAACACATAAAGTGTGATCTATTTGGGATATTCCATATAGATGGAATCATATAATATGTGACCTTCTGTATCTGACTTTTTTAGCATAATGGCTTGCAGGTTCGTTCATGTAAGCCTTATCTGTTACTTCTGTACTCCTTTTTTATGGTTGAATAATACTCCACTGTATGTATATGCCACATTTTGTTTATCTGTTAATATTTTGGTAGAGATTTGGGATAGTTACACCTTTAGGCTATTGTGAATAGTGTAGTGCTGCTATGAACATGCATGTACATGTTCAGTTCTTTGGGATATATACCTAGGAGAACTGTTGGCTCATATGGTTATTCTGTGCTTAATTTTTTGGAGGACCTGCTAACTGTTTTTCTACAGTGGCTGAAGCATTTTGCATTCCCAGCAGCACTGTACAAGGTTTCCATCTTCTCCATACCCTAACACTTATTTTCCTTTTTAAAATTATAGCCATAGTAATGGATGTGAAGTGGTACCTCATGTGGTTTTGATTTGCATTTCCCTAATGACTGATGATGTTAAACAACTTTTCCTGTATATCTTTTTTGGAGAAATGTCTTTTCAAGTCCTTTGCCCAAATTTTAACTGGGTCATTTATCTTTTTTGTTGTTGGGTCATAAAGAGTTCTTTATATATATTGGATTCTAGATCCTATCGTCTGTAAAAGATTTGCAAAGATTTTCTCCCATTCTGTACGTTATCTTTTCATTTTCTTGATGATGTCCATTAGTGCACAGTAGTTTTAAATTTTTATCAAGCCAAATTTACTTGAACAATGAGATGTAAGCAAAGGGGATGATTGTCATTTCTGTGCCTGCTTTCTCTGACCTTCCTCTGCCCTACTGGCTGGGAGATACTGAGAATTTTAACATTCCCTTTTGCCCCAAAGATGGAAATTACTTGGTTAGGAAAAGCAGAGCAATTCCACCAGTCGTGGACTGCTCTTACCTAGACTCTCATATGAGGGAGGAAGAAAATATATATTTAAGCATCCAACTCTTGATTTCTGCTCAGGTCATGATCTTATGGTTTGTGAGTTATGATGGTGCGGAGCCTGCCTGGGATTCTTTCCCTCTCCCTCTCTCTCTGCCCCTCGCCTGGTTGTGTTTTCTCTTTCTCAAAAATAAATAAACTTTGGGGGCACCTGCGTGGCTCAGTCGGTTGGGCATCAGACTTCGGCTTAGGTCATGATCTCACGGTTTGTGAGTTCGAGCCGTGCGATGGGCTCTGTGCTGACAGTTCAGAGCCTGGAGCCTGCTTTGGATTCTGTGTCTCCCTCTCTCTCTGCCCCTCCCCCACTCGTACGGGTTCTCTCTCTCTCTCTTTCAAAAGTAAACATTAAAAAAATAAACTTAAAAAAATATCATATGTATTATATGATATATATTTGTTAGATCACTGTGTTTTGGAGTCTTTGTTATGTCAGCTTAATCTAGACCCTAGCTTATACTGCCTCAGTGTGCCATACAAATATTCATTTTGTTTCTGTTTGTGCCGTGATGAAGGTTGGGAATCACCATGACCTGGACCATTTCTTCTTTGTCCCTTTTGCTAACTCCTCCTCCCCAGTGTCATCAAGGGGGAAATCCTTTCCCTCCTACCCATTCAGGTATGTAGCTTATTCTGGTCCCAAGATAGAGATTGGATACCCCCAATTCTTGCAGAAAAATTGGGCATATGGGGGTGTTGGCAATTACCTTGCTTTGGGTAGCACCTGGAGTAAAGCTTGGCGAGCCTCAATGCTGGAAGCCCCCAGGATGTCCCCATCCACAATCCCCCCCCCCCCCCCCCCCCCGGAGCCCAGCACCCGTGAAAGACTGTACCTGCATCATGAGTTGCCCTGGCATAGTGTTTCGTCATGGGTTCCTTTCCTATCTGGGAGACAGTAGTTCTGCCTCCTCCAAGAAAGACACTTTCCTTGTTGTTTCCGCAGCTCTCACAAGTCTTTCTTCTGCTCTGCCCGGTCTGAGTCGAACAGTGACACCAGGAAAACCAAGCCTCCCAAAGTTGATCTCCATGCTTCTGAGCTAGGTCATAAGGCAAGAAGCTGCCAAAATTAATATGAACTTCGGGCTCCTTGGCTTACTGGTACCTTTGGACGAGCCCCACTAGAGCGCTCCTCTCCCAGGAGGAGGCTCATACTTCCAGGGCTTCTTGACAACAGCACCTGGGGGCTGCGCTGGTGGGCAGGGGTCCATAGAACTGTCCTTCCTCCACCCTTCAGAGTTGATTCCTTTCCACCTCTGACTTCGGTGCCCTTCATCTGCCCCCCGCCAGTACCCCTTCTCTTGGGCAAGAACCCCACTTGAGGCCCTAGCCCTAGCTTGGCTGGCTGGAACCGGAAGCCGAGGGGATTTGGCTCTGGGGCGCACCAGTGCCCGCCAGTTGTGCGGGTTAGATCACTCGGAGCACCTGCTTCTCCCTCCTGAACTACGAGCCCCAACGTCCTTCGAGACGGATCGTTTCCAGCCTTCCCCCAACTACATTTCCCAGAGTCCACCGGGGCCCTTTTGGGCCCTCTGAAGCGCGTGGCAGCCTGCGTGCCTGGCCTTTCTTTAAGGTGAGAGGAGGGGGCGGGGTGTGTGTGTTTCCGTATGATTTTCGCAAAGGCGTTGGGCGCTGCTTGTCTCCTGCTGCACGTAAGGTGGTGCGGCCTCCTGCCCCTCTTCCTCCGTCCCACTCCCCGTCAGGAAAAAAAGCTGTGAACTCAAACTCCCAGAGCCTAGGGCAAGTTCTGTGGAAGAATGCAGCCGTTTTGACCCGGATGCAGGCCCTCTTTGGTGTTGGAGTGACTCAAAACCAGACTTTTGGGTTTTTTTTTTTGCGGGGGGGGGGGGGGCGGGAAGAATCTTAATGTGTATCAGGGGCCAGAGAAGGAAGCGGAATGAGTTTGAAATCATGCATGTTTGGAAGCAGCGAGACAGGTGTGGAGTCTTCTGTCTCCTTTTTCTTCCTCCAGACTTCTAGAACTCTAGTCCTAACAAGAGGAGCCTGAGGGAAGAAGTTTGCACTACTTAAAGCCTTAAAGTTTTGGCCAGGTGAGTTGTATCTTCCCTCTTTCTTCAAACACCGTCTTATTTTTCATGACTTATGCTCCATATTTTGTCTAAAGGTTGCTATCCTGACAGGCTTCTCTGGGCAGTTGGTCCTCAGTCCTCTCACTACAGTGGGTGAGAGGGCTAAAGATATGCTCGCAATGAGCCCACTCCCCACTCTGATTGTTCCTTCCCTCCCCACCCTGTCTTCATGTAACTCGGAAATTATTCCACACATCCAGGGAACTCGGTGCTCTGCACAGCTCTGATGGTGCAGAAATACATACCCTGGAGAGAATTAGCTTTGCAACTTGTGGGGTCATCTGGAGTATTTACCAGCCTATGAAGCACAGGCACTACCCAGCCAGAAAGACACAGGTCCCGGATGAAGCAAGGCCTTGGAAGCCGGCTGCTAGATCTGATGTTAACCTTTAGTTTCAAGATTGGGGACATTGGGGAAGGGGATTTGAATAGCTCAGTTTGGAGGGTGGTTGGTGCAGCAGCTGTTTACCAACCATTTTATCAATCTGTAAGGCTCTAAGACTGACACATTCTCATTGCATTTTAACATTTCTGAAGTTGGGATGCTTGTTTTTCAGTCAATTCAGTTTAATGAAATAACAGGAACCTTGCCAGCATCATGCATTGCAGTTTTTAAAGCCACAAAGGAGATAGTCCTGACACCTGATAGGGACCACCTGCTTTAGGAGGGATTTAAAAGGTTTGTGATTCGGGGCGCCTGGGTGGCGCAGTCGGTTAAGCGTCCGACTTCAGCCAGGTCATGATCTCGCGGTCCGTGAGTTCGAGCCCCGCGTCAGGCTCTGGGCTGATGGCTCGGAGCCTGGAGCCTGTTTCCGATTCTGTGTGTGTGTGTGTCTCTCTCTCTCTCTCTCTGCCCCTCCCCCGTTCATGCTCTGTCTCTCTCTGTCCCAAAAATAAATAAAAAACGTTGAAAAAAAATAAAAAAAAATAAAAGGTTTGTGATTGAGGCCTTTAGCACAGATGTGGGTCAACAGGTAAGTTTGGGCAGAGAATTGATGGGAGATGAAGCACAGAGTTCATTATTATTTCTGAAGGGTCCGGTTAAAGTTGAAGGTTTGGGCAGTGAACATGTATGTGCAACTCTGGGTCAGCCTCCCCAGTTCGTCAGGGTGTGGTGGTGTCCAGTGGACAGTTACAAGTCACAAGTAAGGAGATGATCTCCTTAACCTGAAGTTTGGGGACTCCCTAGACAAGTTCCTGGAGGCCCATGAACTCTCGATGTATGCACAGTGAGTTGTATATATTGCATGTTGGGGCCTAGCTGTATTTTTCTAGGCACCAGGTCTGAAATTTGGCTTAGATTCCTAAAGAGATATATAATTCCTGTCTTAGTTCAGGCTCCTATAACAGAATACCATAAACTGGGTGACTTACATAACATTCATTTCTCACAGTTCTGGAGTCTAGAAGCCAGATTCAGAGTGTTAAAGCATGGTTGGGTTCTGGTAGGGACCCTATTCCAGGCTGCAGACTGGCAACTTCTTATATCCTCACATCGCCCAAAGAATCCCTTTGGGCGCTCTGGTCCCTTTTTTGTCTTATATAAAGCAGCCCCCCCCCCCCCCCCCATTCATGAGGGCTTTATCCCCAAGGCCTAATTGCCTCCGAAAAGCCCCACCTCCAAATACCATCATATTGGGTATTAGATTTCAACATGTGAATTTTGGGAAGATGTGTTCAGTCCATAACAACCCCCAAAGTGTTAAGTACCCCTAGACTATACTGTAAGAACTGGCAAGGGTGTTTGCAATAATCTTGCCCTAAATTGGTATATAACAGTGAATGTATAGCTAAGTAATTTATACATACCATAAACATGTAGCTAAGTAATTTGTACATACCATAGAACTTTGTACAGCCATAAATCATATTTGATTGTTCACAATTACAGCTGAATATAGACTGGATATTAGGTGATGTGAAGACTTATTGTTAATTTTGTTAGTGTGGTGCCATTTTGTGAGATGCTATTTTTTAGAGATGTAACCTTAAACTATTTAGAGCTGAAATGTAGTCATATCTAATTTAAAGTAGTTTAGCAATATACATAAATAAAATATGGCACTATGTGAACAATCGTTAAATATAAGTGATGATTATGAGCCTGTTCATTGCTTTCCTTGTATATTAGAAAAATTTCACAATAAAACCATTTTTAAAAATTATTTTAAAAAGATTTTATTTTTTAAAATTTTGTTTCATTTATTTATTATTAAATTTACATTCAAGTCAGTTATCATACAGTGCAGCAATGACTTTAGGAATAGATTCCCTAATGCCCCTCACCCATTTAGCCCATCCACCCTCCCACAACCCCTCCAGCAACCCTCTGGTTGTTCTTCACATTCAAGAGTCTCCTATGTTTTGTCTCTCTCCCTGTTTTTATATTATTTTTGCTTCCCTTCCCTTATATTCGTCTCTTTTGTATCTTAAAGTCCTCATATGAGTGAAGTCATATATTTGTCTTTCTCTGACTAATTTCGCTTAGCATAATACCCTCTAGTCCCACCCACGTAGTTGCAAATGGCAAGATTTCATTCTTTTTGATTGCTGAGTAATACTCCATTGTATATATATACCACATCTTTTTTTTAATGTTTTTTTTAAATTTATTTTTGAGACAGAGACAGAGCATGAGCAGAGGAGGGGCAGAGAGAGGGGGAGACACAGAATCAGAAGCAGGCTCCAGGCTCTGAGCTGTCAGCGCAGAGCCTGACGCTGGGCTCGAACTCACAGGCTGTGAGATCATGACCTGAGCTGAAGTCGGACGCTTAACCGACTGAGCCACCCAGGCGCCCCGACATCTTCTTTATCCATTCATCCATCGATGGACATTTGGGCTCTTTCCATACTTTGGCTATTGTTGATAGTGCTACTATAAACACTGGAGTGCATATGCCCCTTTGAAACAGCATACCTGGGGCGCCTGGGTGGCGCAGTCGGTTAAGCGTCCGACTTCAGCCAGGTCACGATCTCGCGGTCCGTGAGTTCGAGCCCCGCGTCAGGCTCTGGGCTGATGGCTCAGAGCCTGGAGCCTGTTTCCGATTCTGTGTCTCCCTCTCTCTCTGCCCCTCCCCCGCTCATGCTCTGTCTCTCTCTGTCCCAAAAATAACAAAACAAAACAAAACAAAACAAAAAAAAAAAAACGTTGAAAAAAGAAACAGCATACCTGTATTCCTTGGATAAATACCTAATAGTGTAATTGCTGGGTCTTAGGGTAGTTCTATGTTTAGCTTTTTTGAGGAGCCTCCATACTGTTTTCCAGAGTGGCTGCACCAGTTTGCCTTCCTACCAGCAGTGCAAAAGAGATTCTCTCTTTCTGCATCCTCACCAACATCTGTTGTTGTCAGAGTTGTTAATGTTAGCCATTCTGACCTGTGTGTATCTCATTGTAGTTTTGATTTGTATTTCCCTGATGATGAGTGATGTTGAGCATTTTTTCATGTGTTGGTTGACCATCTGGATGTCTTCTTTGGAGAAGTATCTATTCATGTCTTTTGCCCATTTCTTCACTGGATTATTTGTTTCTTGGGTATTGAGTTGATAAGTTCTTTATAGATTTTGGATACTAACCCTTTATCTGATATGTTGTTTGCGAATATCTTCTCCCATTCCATTGGTTGCCTTTTAGTTTTGCTGATTGTTTCCTTCACTGTGCATAAGTCTTTTATTTTGATGAGGTCCCAATGGTTCATTTTTGCTTTTGTTTCCCTTGCCTCTGGAAACGTGTTGAGTAAGAAGTTGCTGCGGCCAAGGTCAAAGAGGTTTTTGCCTGCTTTCTTCTCGAGGATTTTGATGGCTTCCTGTTTTACATTTAGGTCTTTCATCCATTTTGAGTTTATTTTTGTGTATGGTGTAAGAAAATAGTCCAGGTTCATTTTTCTGCGTGTTTCTGTCCAGTTTTCTTAGCACCACTTGCTGAAAAGATAGTCTTTATTCCATTGGATATTCTTTCCTGCTTTGTCAAAGATTAGTTGGCCATATGTTTATGGGTCCATTTCTGGGTTTTTTATTCTGTTCCATTGATCTGAGTGTCTGTTCTTGTGCCAGTACCATACTGTCTTGATGATGACAGCTTTGTAGTACAGCTTGAAGTCTGGGATTGTGATGCCTCCAGCTTTGGTTTTATTTTTCAAGATTGCTTTGGCTATTCAGGGTCTTTTCTGGCTCCATACAAATTTTAGGATTGTTTGTTCTAGTTCTTTGAAGAATGTGGTGTTATTTTGCTAGGTATTATATTGAATATGTAGATTGCCTTGGGTAGTATTGACAATATTTGTTCTTTCTATCCTGGAGCATAGAATATTTTTCCATTTTTTGGTATCTTTTTCAATTTCTTTCATAAGCTTTCTACAGTTTTCAGCATATAGATTTTTCACCTCTTTGGTTAGATTTATTCCTAGGTATTTTATGGTTTTGGTGCAATTGCAAATGGGATAAATTCATTGATTTCTCTTTCTGTTGCTTCATTATTGGTGTATAGGAATGCAACTGATTTCTGTGCATTGATTTTATATCCTGCCACTTTGCTGAATTCATGGATCAGTTCTAGCAGGTTTTTTGTGGAATCTTTTGGGTTTCCCATATAGAGTATCATGTCATCTGCAAAGAGTGAAAGTTTGACCTCCTCCTGGCTGATTTGGATGCCTTTTATTTCTTTGTGTTGTCTAATTGCTGAGGCTAAGACTTCCAATACTATGTTGAATAACTGTGGCAACAGTGAACATTGCTGTCTTGTTCCTGACCTTAGGGGGAAAGCTCTCAGTTTTTCTCCATTGAGGATGATATTAGCGTTGGGTCTTTCATATATGGCTTTTATGCTCTTGAGGTGTGATCCCTCTATCCCTACTTTCTTGAGGGTTTTTATCAAGAAAGGATGCCGTATTTTGTCAAATGCTTTCTCTGCATCTATTGAGACGATCATGTGGTTCTTTTCTTTTCTTTTATTGATGTGATGAATCACATTGATTGTTTTGTGGATATTGAACCAGCCCTGCATCCCAGGTATAAATCCCACTTGGTTGTGGTGAATAATTTTTTTAATGTATTGTTGGATCCGGTTCACTAATGTCTTGTTGAGGATTTTTGCATCCATGTTCATCAGGGAAACTGGTTTTCCTTTTTAGTGGGGTCTTTGTCTGGTTTTGGAATCAAGGTAATGCTGGCTTCATAGAAAGAGTTTGGAAGTTTTCCTTCCATTTCTATTTTTTGGAACAGCTTCAAGAGAATAGGTGTTAACTCTTCCTTAAATGTTTGGTAGAATTCCCCTGGAAAGCCATCTGGCCCTTGACTCTTGTTTTTTGGGAGATTTTTGATGACTAATTCGATTTCTTTACTGGTTATGTGTCTGTTCAAAAGTTCTATTTCTTCCTGTTTCAGTTTTGGTAGTTTATATGTTTCTAGGAATTTGTTCATTTCTTCCAGATTGCCCATTTTATTGGTGTTTTTATTTCTTCAGTGTTGTTGTGATCGTCTCTCGTTCTTGATTTTATTCATTTGGGTCCTTTCCTTTTTTCTTTTTGATCAAACTGGCTAGCAGTTTACCAATTTTGTTAACTTTTTCAAAGAACCAGCTTCTGGTTTCATTGATGTGTTTTACTGTTTTCTTGACTTCGATAGCATTGATTTCTGCTTTAATCTTCATTATTTCCTGTTCTGCTAGTTTGGGGTTTTATTTGCTGTTCTTTTCCCAGCTCTTTAAGGTGTAAGCTTAGGTTGTGTATCTGAAACCTTTTTTCCTTCTTTAGGAAGGCCTGGATTGCTATATACTTCCCTCTTATGACTGCCTTTGCTGCATCCCAGAGGTTGTGGGCTGTGGTGTTATCATTTTCATTGGCTTCCATGTATTTTTAAATTTCTTCTTTAACTTCTTGGTTAGCCCATTCATTCTTTAGTAGGATGTTCTTCAGTCTCCAAGTATTTGTTATCCTTCTAAATTTTTTCTTGTGGTTGATTTCGAGTTTCACAGCACTGTGGTCTGAAAGTATGCAAGGTATGATCTCGATCTTTTTGTACTTGTTGAGGGCTGATTTGTATCCCAGTATGTGATGTATTCTGGAGAATGTTCCATGTGCACTGGAGAAGAATATATATTCTGCTGCTTTAGGATGAAATGATCTGAATATATCTGATAAGTCCATCTGGTCCAGTGTGTCATTCAAAGCTGTTGTTTCCTTATTGATTTTTCTGTTTAGATTATCTGTCCATTGCTGTAAGTGGGGTGTTAAAATCCCTTAATATTATGGTATTATCAATGAGTTTCTTTATTTTTGTAATTAATTGATTTATATATTTGGGTGTTTCACATTTGGAGCATAAATGTTTACAATTGTTAGGTCCTCTTGGTGGATAGAGCCCTTAATTATGATATAATGCCCTTCTTCATCTCTTGTTACAGTCTTTATTTTAAACTCTAGATTGATGTAAGTATGGCTACTCCAGCTTTCTTATGTCGACCATTAGCATGATAGATGGTTCTCCATCCCCTTACTTTCAATCTGAAGGTGTCTTTAGGTCTAAAGTGGGTTTCTTGTAAACAGCATATAGATGGATCTTGGTTTCTTACCCATTCTGTTATGCTATGTCTTTTGATTGGGGCATTTAGTCCATTGACGTTTAGAGTGAGTACTGAAAGGTATGAGTTTATTGCCATTGTGTTTCTTGTAGAGTTGGAGTTTCTGGTGGTGTTCTCTGGTCCTTTCTAGTCTTTGTTGCTTTTGGTCTCCCCCCCCCCCACCATCTTTTCTCCCCTCAGAGAATCCCCCCTTAAAATTTCTTGCAGGGCTGGGTCAGTGGTCACAAACTCCTTTAATTTTTGTTTGGGAAACTTTTTATCTCTCCTTCTGTTTTGAATGATCGCCTTGCTGGATAAAGAATTCTTGGCTGCATATTTTTCCTATTTAGCACATTGAATATATCCTGCCACTCCTTTCTGGCCTGCCAAGTTTTTGTGGATAGGTCTGCTGCAAACCCGATCTGTCTTCCCTTGTAGATTAAGGACTGTTTTTCCCTTGCTGCTTTCATGATTCTCTCCTTGCCTGAGTATTTTGGGAATTTGACTATGATATGCCTTGTTGATGGCCGGTTTTTGTTGAATCTAATGGGAGTCTTCTGTGTTTCCTGGATTTTGATGTCTGTGTCTTTCCCCAGGTTAGGAAAGTTTTCC